CATTATAAGGCCATCAAAAATTTCTGTAAAATCATCATCACCATTACCATCATCATCATCATCATCACCATCACCATCTTCATCGTCACCATCACCATCTTCATCGTCACCATCACCATCATCATCGTCACCATCACCATCTTCATCATCATCATCACCGACTTGCACTTTCTAGCCATCTTCAGCAGAACTTTCGAGCACTCGTTGTTGTTATTACAGGCTCCCAAGTTCACGCGCTCCAGTTTCTGGCATGAACTAATTGCATAATTTACATAAATTACGTGATCTAATTACCCGAATGACCTAATTAGAGACCTCATAATTTGAACCAAAGACTCCGTATCGACCAATGTCCTGTAGAGGTCAAGGACACGCAGGGAGGTCAGTGACTTGAGAAATGCAAATGAGGCAGCGGAAGCCCCGGTACAGGATTGTAGGTGCAACTCTGTCGCGATTGGCCGGTGTAAATATTTGATGAAGCGTGATTGGCTGATGTAAATGTGTGAGTGAATGTGATTGGTGGAGTAAATATTAACTAAATCTAAACCGGACACTCGAGTAAAAATAAAGACGACAGCTAAAAATACCTTCTAGGTTCAGGCAGGCCTTTGAAATGATCTTCAATATACGCCCTTTAACAAGCTTGCAGCAGTTGAGTTCCAGACAGACCAGGTTATTTCCACACACTCCAAGAAAACTGCATATCATTATCATTGTCAATCGCCATCATCACCAACATCATCGTCATCATCATAACCATAATCATCACCGCCATCATAAAACTGCATATCATTATCAAGACTATGTCAATCACCATCATCATCATCATCATCATCATAACCATAATCATCACCACCATCATAAAACTGCATATCATTATCAAGACTATGTCAATCACCATCATCATCATCATCATCATCATAACCATAATCATCACCACCATCATAAAACTGCATATCATTATCAAGACTATGTCAATCACCATAACTATAATCATCACCACCATCATAAAACTGCATATCATATCA